AAAAAAAAACATACACTTTTTTTTTGTAAATAAGGACACATCTATGTTTGGGGAATTTTACGAAATTTCGGGCAAAATCTGGGAATTTCATTATTGAAATCGGGGAATTCTCAAATATGAGTTGGCTACCCTAGTATGTGGGTATGTATGAAAGGGAAGGCTGTAGGCAGCCCAGGTATCCTTTTACATGCATTGAATTCAACCGAGGCTCTCTCCGCCTTCTCCTCTATGTTCAGACGCCACGACAATTTGTTATCTTATTTTATTTCGAGGTACTCGGTGCTGTGTTTCAGTTGGAGGCTCGTTCCTCTCAGCTAAGGCCAAAACTAACCCCAAATCCTATATTTCCTCGTTTCATTGTATTAACCATAGTGCCTTTTAAAACAAAATGTTTTATTGTATACCTTTGTTCTTATCCCATTATAGGCCGTCTACATGTCCACGACAGTACCGCAGAATATAAAAGGTAGTAAAATCGCCGGACGCCACACTCCAACAAGAAATAGTTTAAGGCACAGTCGCATGCTAGTTGTAAATAACAAATCATATCCAGGTAAGTGGCAAGGTGTTTGATCGTTTGCATACTATAAATGTAGTGCAATAACCAACTTAAAAAAAAGGAAACTGGATTCGACTTTTTATCAAAAAAAAATATTATTACTGTTAAACGTTTACACTTGGATTAGTTGATATGCATGTGTTTCCAATGGTGATTAAACTTGCGTGATCTTAATACACTTACTGCCGTAATTGCTTATCAAATATGTATATTCTTAATAACCTATTGCTTGATCTCATTAATCCTTTTATTACTACTCAGATGACTCTGTACTTTTACATACTAACTCAAAGTTAATTGGCTTTATTCATACCGAATGAGCTGCACTAGGGTGGGTCGCCTTTAATATATGACTTCGCTAGAAGAAAGCTCTACAGTAAAATAACGCAATAAAAAAATTGAAAAAATAAGAGTGAACCTCCTTAATTCATATAAAACAAAATTAATTACTAATCAAATACATATTACTTATAATTAAGTTCATGCTACTACAATTTATACGTACAAAACTACATAAGCTCATTGACTTTTTACTTGTAATTGCACCGCTGCATTGTAGCCAATTTATTTCCGTAGTACTATGTATGTTAATAACTGGCAAAGGCAATCATCATCAATAAACAACAACAAACGCAATCTTGTTTTTGTAATCTAATGTAATATATGTAAGTATGTATATACTAATGTAAGTAATAAACTAGTAGTGTAACTAAAACGATTTGATCATAGTCGGTCTGTTAGGCCCCCACTCAAGTGAGCGCGGTTAGTAGACAAGAAACTTTTAGCGAACAAACAACACTTCTATCAAACAAAATTAAAACAAGTTCATACATACATATTTCTAAAATGGTTCGTTCTTTGTACACAACAGCTTCTCAGCATCCAAATCCATTGAATTTTAAATATCCGAATCTTGCCCGCTGGTTGCTCATACTGGAAATATTAGTTGGTCTACTAATATCATTCTTAGCAATATGGATATTCTGCTTGGCACCCAATACGGCCATACAATATAATCCCTACTGGAGCGGCTTGGTGGTAAGTGAATAATTTTAATATTTGTACGGTTATTTCGAAGGCTTCCGAACAGAGCACTGTTCAACATACTAGATAACTAGACAGAACGTTTTTCTTTTAAATGCAGTACTATATAGATCGATTAGATATTTATTTATTTATTTACTTTCCCTGTTGGCGGACTTTGGGTAAGTTTTCATAAAGTTTGGACTTTGAATTTTTAATGGGTGTGGTTTTAGGTGGCCGCGCGCTCTAATTTCAGTTATGATCGTGGCCTTCATTTTACTTTTCAAAATGAATTATGAAGTCTAACTAGAATCTTTAACTTGGGTTAGTTTAATGAGAATCTTTCGCGATCACTCAACAAAGCGTATCACTAGCTAAACGTTTTTTCTATTATTATTTTCTACTTATTATAATCAAAATTACAATTAACACTTAGCACTAGCTACAAAGTTATCGGCGCATCTAAAAGTAAAATCAATAACAAGCATTAAAAAGTGATCGAAATCGGTTACGATCTGAATAAATAGTGGGCAGATTTTTTTCACACATTTACGCTTTTTTTCTCAGTGTGCGCCGTTGCAAGAAACCTACAACATTCACTTGGTGGGAGGTAAACCAGGTAGAGAAAAGGGTGTACCTTATAAGGCAGCCAAAGAAATCAGTAAGACTTTCGCTTAACACTTTGGTCCCCATAATCGGATGCCATGTATGCAAGAATTTAAATTTAGATTTGCAAGACTGTTCAGACATTTTTCCCACACAATTGTTAATCACAAATTTTTTCAATTTTTTTCTCGTTTTTCTCCACAGCTCCTGCTTGCTGGCATTCTTGGACTTGTGCTTGTACGCTTTCAGCGTATAAAACGCCACAAAGTGCGCGAGAATTGTTTTAAATTTTTACGCACCGATTCATATTTGCTAGCGCTCTTGGCCGTCTTGCTTTGCTGTGTGGCATTCTTTTGTGCTGGCCTACATTATGCGCGCCTTAGCGCCAGCGATACACACTGCGCGCCCACAAACATTCTGTTGGAGCAAGGATCCTGCACGTGCACCTTTAACGTGAATGAGGAAGTAACGCTGCCACCGCCAGCGAATGACAGTGCGTCACAGGTGGCGAATGGCTTGCTGGACGAAGAAGTGATGCCGGAAAATTTCAGTGACCAAAGCTATAAAGTGGAATATCGGTAAGTGATTGGAAATAATTCAATATCGTGTGAAAACATTTTATTAATAT